TTTCTCTGGGCTCCTCAGGTAGACCTCAATCTCTGCCCTTGGGTACTTGCCATCCCCTGCCCCTCTAGAGGCTGGCACTAAGAAGATCTCTATGGGCTTCCCCCTCCATGCTGCCCCTTCATTCAAGGGTTTTGTGGTTATTTGAAAGATGAGTATTTGAGACCCCAGGGGAAAGAGCATGAGAAGGAGCCAGAGACTTTGGTGGTCTGCAGGGGCTCCATGTCACCTGCCTCTGGTGATATGACTATTCCAGACCCCCGGGCCTCCTGGTCAGCTCTAGCCCTGTGTTGTGCAGGGCACTTATGGTCCCCTGTGGTCTGATGGAGAAGGTTTCCCTCAGTGTCTCCCTCTGGCCCCCAGCTGAGCCTACACAATCTCCCTGGGTCTTGGAGAACAAAGCCCTCAAGGCTGACTTTGGGCCTAGAATGGCCAGGTGGGGTGGCCACTAGCCGCCTGCAGGGGGCAGAGGCAGGATGGGGACTAAGGCTTGACCACCTTGTGGAACTATCCATGGGGGTAGAGGGGCCAATCAGCTGGGAAGGCTGGGTCCAGGATGGTCATCGTTGGACCCGTGTGGAAACTGGGGTTCAAATTGGGGGACTGCAGAGAAAGGAGAAAAGGGGGTCCCGAGTTAGGAGATGGTAGACAGTGGACATGCCAGAAGGAACGGTCTTGAACTCGGGGAGCCCCACTCAGAATGGGGAGTCCAGTGGGGGTTTGTGCGGGCTGGCGTACCTGGGTGAACCCTGGGGCTGTGAGGGTGCAAGGGGGACAGAGCCCCACCCCCTGCCCCCTCGGGCTGAACCTTGGACTGCCAGGAGCCAGAACAGACACAGGAAATAGCCTAATTGCATTTGTGCAGGAACACCAAATCCCTTACAGCTGCACTTGGCTGAGCCAGGGCCACGGGCGGGGTCGGCCATCGCCAGAGTCCTGACAGCTCTGCCGAGCGTGCCAAGGGGTCTGGGCCGCTGGCTGGGGGGCGCCTTTCCCAGGCCAGAGGCCCCCACCTCACCCCAGGAGAGCTGCCCCCCTTTCAGTTCTCAGAACAGAGCCCAGCTGTGGAATAGTGAGGGGGTGAGGTCATGGGGAAGGGGCCGCATTACTCACATCCTGGGGCAGGCTAGGAGGGAGGAGGCAGGGGAAGGGGCCCAGAGGCCTCCTCATCCTCAGGCTGCTGGGTCAGGAACTGGGGCCGCTGGAGTTTCTCTCCAGCATGGAACTTTAGGAGACCCCTACCCTGAACCCCCACGTTGTCCCTCAAGTTCTCAGCCTGGAAGGGCTAAGTGGGGGTGACTCTGGAAGGGCCTCGCCTCACAGGGGCGATGTTCTCAGAGAACACACCTTGGCTTTCTGCCAGGGCCGGCACCGCTGTCGTCAGGGTGACGGCGAGGAAAACAGTAAATAGTGCACTGGGGCACCCCTGGAGGGATCCTTGGAGGGGACACAGGACCTGCCAGCCTGCGATCCCCTTGCTCCCAGGTCTAAGTATGCACGTGCACTTGTGCGTACACGTGTGCGTCTGCATGTGCATGGGAGTGTTCGGGCCTAAGTATGGAGTGTAGGTGTGTGTGCTACATAGCCTTAGTGTGGGACTCGGTGCAAGTGGAGGGTGCTTTTTCCTGTCTCATGTGCATCCGTGTGAGCCCCAGCTGCCCCCGTGGCCTCGTGTGTTGGGCATGAGCCCGGGGGGGGTCTGTGTAGGGTGGACCAAGGGCATTTTCACCCACATCTGGGGACTCTGCACTCTTTTGTGCCTTTGACAGCTCCCCTGAGAGTTGGTGGAAGGGTCGGAGGTGCAAGATTGAGGGCCCTAGCTCCACCCAGAGTGAGTCCCACAGGGAAGACCCTGAGACCAGGTCCAAGGAGAATCTGAGGCTCAAGCCATAACCCAGGCTCAGGTGCTCACCCTTTCTGGGCACACACACCCATGCACACACACACAAGGACTTCCTAGCCTCACCTGGGTACACACGC